TGGGTTAGTGAAGCCATACTGTTTATGTGTGACAACCAAGCCGGACGCCACTCGATATGCACGAAGGGTGACGGACTGTTTCGTGCGCACTGCAGCTGAAGTACATTTGGTCGTAGTTGCTCTAACATTGACGATAGCTCAATAATCAAAGCTGACTACAGTAACTAAGACTAGAGATAAGTTTTGTGCTTACGGTGCAATCCGAGCAATGTACTTTTCATTACGAGTATCATGGGTTCAGTGACAGGTTGGAGTTCTTGGTTCAATGGTCTGGCTGTCATCAATACCCTAGCAACCAAAACCACCTAAAGTGTAACTCGCCCATTCTTGGCTTAGCCCACAGAACTGAACGAAACAGAAAGCAGTCGATCTGTTGGGTAAAAGGGGTTACTCGCTTTCAAATAAAGTATTGTTACGTAAGAAACCTCGACAAATGACATTGGGATACAGTGGACATTTTTTTCACAAGGTTGCGGTTGGCAAGCAGACTGAGCTTAAAATTAATGACCACTGTGGGAACTCTAATAATTAACTCTTCAATCTCCCGGCAGAATTTTAAGATAAGTCGACGGAAATGAACAGCAGCATTTTTATATTGCATTTTTTGATAAGGTCAGCTACAGTCAGTCAGGTAGACTAACTGATGCATGGTGTAATGTTCGCATCAGTTCACTACCAAAGGAAGAAAAGGGAAAGTCTCGGCCTAATACTATATGATCCGTACTACTCAAGACTTCTGAGCTACATCTGCTGAATTGGGTGCAAAATTATTTCATTGACTGATGCCAGTTCACGTGTTCTAATGACATTAGGTCTTCCACTGTGAAATCTTTTTACACTTAAGAATGTCGATGGTGTAGTGGATGCGGATGCATACAACGGAATTATTTTCAGCAACCCCTTTAAATCAGTAATAAGTTCCACTTCTACATGGTCTTAAAATGGTATGGATTATCATTCTTCGCTAAACCGGTAGAGCTGAACCAAACAGAACATAATCCATTCGTTTGAACAAAAAGAGATATTTTCAAAGTGAAAAGCGGGTACTCAATGTCAGAAAAATTATTTCATGTGAATATTAGTGTGAAAAATTATTTCTGCATAAAGAACACCCACGAATTATACGGACTCAACAGCGAAAACTATTTTACAAGCTGGCGGTCAGCCAGCACATTGACCAATGTGAGGACACAAAGAATAATCTGCAGCCATCTCCCGGCAGATTTGCAAAAATATTCGACGTAAATGAACGTTATTATAAAAAAATACAAATATGTTAAAAATCAGTTTTCCTTAACTAAGTTGATTGCATCCAGACACTGAGGATGAGGTGAATGGAAGTGATGGAATCAAAAAATTCAAGCGTTTTAGGAATGTGAGTTGCCGCCATGGTGGTGGCAGAGTGGTTACACCAAAATTGGCGTCAAGACACTGAAATGATATTTTATTTATCAATCAGTTCAATTAATTGCACTTTTGTTCCGCCTTCCAGTGGAAGCCTTTTTATTTAAGTCGTGAATATTTACTTTGTCAACTGCTGATATTTTATCAGCAGGACTTGCCACTTGCATTAATCAATCTTTATCTATTGCATCGGACGGTTTTAAATATTTTGACACATTCTTCCTAACTATTCTGGGTTTGGTGAACCTTGTAAATCTTCTTTCATGAGCGAATGTTAAGCTTGATAGCGTGCATCCATCTAAACTTGATTTGTTTCATATTTTCATTCTAGACCCTGCTAACACTTCGGAGTCCCTCGATTTTCCCCACAACAAATCAATACTAACATTCCCGACTCCCTACACAAACCTCAAGGAATAGGTATTGTTTCCCGGAGTTCCTTTTTTTGTTCACGACGTTTACGGACTTCTCAGTGTATAGCAAAAGTCATGTCTCTTCATCCTGTGAATATCTCACCGATTGTCTGTCATTTCTGTTTTGACCAGTGTTACAAAGTTAAATAAATCCGATATATATTATTATTTGAATCAATAGATTTCTCTCTCCCCTCGTTAACTCTATCGGGCTTCAGATAACTACCTGTTTCGTTTGGATCCGAAGTAAGATGCTTGAGAAGAATGTATGTTGAGATAGTTTTGGTAAACGAGTTCCGTCATGAGATGTGGTTCACTTGGCAGCAAATCTACGGTTCAATTATCAGCTTTTCGACCAACTTTGAAGAACTCAATTGTAAATTCACTTTGGCACCTGATACCAGCTTCCCACCATTTACTTTTCGAACCCACGGTGAAACAGTCCCGTTTCTCCATACGCGGTGCTCCAAGTCATAATAGGACTGATGATCAGCAAACCT